TATGGAATTCTAGAAAATATTCTGACTCACAGATGTCCTCGGTTGTCAAGCAGAGAGATTGGTGTGGATTCTGAACTGGCTTAAGTTGATGGTTAGAAGTTTTCCAGTGTGCCTAATCTTTCTCATTCTCTAGTTTCACTTTTAATAACAACAAATGAAAAAAATAAAAAACAATTATCTGATACTACGTGAGATTCCTGCAATTTTGTTGTTCTCTACTGTTACCTATATAATTTTTGTTTCCTTCTAACTGGGAACTCTTGAATCATGTCTACAATGTCTTCCTCATTGGCCTTTAAGAGAATACTTTTGTCCTTTCATAGTCTTCTGATTTGATCTTACAATGATTGGTATGCCATAAATGCATAATTCATATTGTTCAATACATAGATGAACAAATTTTCATCTAAAGAGTTTAGTATGTATGCCGCCTATCTAAGAGTAAAGAAATTGTTTCTGTAATAATATTTGAGAAATTCACTTTTGAAATATGTCTAATTGTTGAATGAAATCAACTTAAAACATAATTATAAATTATTGTTACTCTGCTTTACATGGTAACTATGCTACATACCATCCTGAAGTGTGGGTGACTGTGTTTTGTTTAACTGTGATAATTCTATAATAAATACTAAATGGCTAAAATGTTGCCAAGGAGAGATAAAATTTAGAAGCTAAAGTGTTTTTCTGTTTGTTTTGTTATGTTCTATTTATAAACCAGACCTAACGACTTCCTTCTCAACAGCAGGTTTCCATTAGTATAGACGTTGATGAAACTCACATTATAATCCAATACATTCATTTATAGGGCAAGACACACTGTTTCATGAAGGAATGAAAAGCGTAAGCATCCTGTTGGCCAAGTATTTTGAACACTAAACAGGACACCTTGACTCACAACAAAATAAATAGCTCTTTTGTTCCTGGGCTGAGGAGCTGTTGGGAAGAAGCAGCTATTAATCTGTATTTAGTAAGCAAAACATTAGTACTTGAAATAAATACCTAGAAAATTCAGTCAAGGAAGTAAGAGGAAGGGCAGAGTCCTGAAATCTCGCTGGCCAAGTGTGACTGCTGCTCTAGGTTGCTTCCCCATGTGTGGTTCTGCATGTAGAGCTGCTGAGCACACTTAAGGAAGACACTATCTCTTAACATTTGTTACCTGTTCCTCCTCCAGTCCAGCTGGACTCCCCAGTGTCTTCAGATAGACTCTGGCTCACTCTTAGATCAACGTTTTCTGTACCTGTGGAATTTATCTTAAAATCTGAGGACTTTTCTTGATGTATTGTTATCTCTTTAGGCCCACTTAGCTTCTTTCTGTGTTGGGTGTGTGAAAGAATTTCTTGAAAATCTTTAAATTCTAAATGAGTGTACATGGAGCAGAAAGAAAATTTCCTGATGATAAATGTCTGATTCTTAGATATTGCATGGCACTAAGTGTCTCATGCTTAGCCAAGCCCTGGTGATGCTCAGTGACACTTAGTGACAATAAACCTCAATCAGAGGTATCAATTATCAGACATATTTTTAAATGCAATTCACATTCCCAGTTTTATCCAGGGCATTAGTCAGGATTAAGTGAAGAGAGCAGTTCTATGCATCTCATAAAACTGATAGTTAATTATTTGGTAGATGACCAAAATCAGACTCTGCTTGACTTAAATTTTGCAGATGTATACCACTTGATGTCATGTGACATAAGATAACTTACCCATATAATTAAGACATGGTGTTTAAAGAGAAAAAATAGTGATCCAAAATATTGCATTAACATTTATTGTTTAGCAGGACCATTAAATGTATTCAAAAACAAAAGGATTTGGATGGATTATCTATGACGGATAGGGACTCCAGATACTTTATGATAGTTATTGTCGCTCTCTCAAGAGACTCAGTTTTATGAACTCTATCTTTTGCTTTAGGATTTAGGGAAGGTCATAGGAACCATTAAGATTCACTTGGTTCCTTCAGAAGCATAGTTACCCCTCTTTTAATAAGATGTATTATGAAATAGAGATGATTACTCCGACATGGCAAAGGATCCTCTTTCTTTGCCTTCTTTAAGATTCTGGATGTGTGTAGAAAAATCAAATGCTGTTGATATGAATATGCTGAAGTAGATTCTCTATCTCTTTTATGAGTTATTTTAAGTTGCTTTGCATACCCTTCCAATCCAGACATTTATACTGGGTATATTTAAGAATTTGCCCTGGAGTATTATTAAATGTCTCCAGGTGCAAAAGCTATGAAGAAAGGAAGGTATTTCTCTACAAGTTTATCCAGAAATCTGTGTATTTCAAGTGTATGACATTAATCATTGAACAACACTAAAATAACTATTGATGTAGTGAGTAAGTGATACGTATTTTTTATTTATTTATTTTCATGATATTATGATAACTAAGGATCAACATTGTAATTCCATAGTGAGTTAGCCATTTGTGTTATATTATGAGAAATGACAAACACATAGTGTAGCTGGAAATGAAAGCATATGCTTGTAATCACAATACTAGAGTGACTGAGGTAGAAAAGTTAAAAATATGAGAACAATGTCAATGAAATTCTGGGTACAAAGCCATCCTGTGCTATGTACGGAGGGATTATCTAAAAAAAATTAAGGAATGAAATATTTCATTCATTAATATTTCAAGCTTTGCAAGTACACACTATAACGTTTAGTAACAAATAAAAATGTAGGAATAAAATAAAATATAAGAATTAGATAGTCAAATGAGAATAGTTAGACAGGAATGATATAAGAGACCTATATGAATTCTGGCTGACACAAAGATTTCAGAGGGTTTGAGGAAATTGTATAAACAATAGTAGATGCCCCACCCAGTCAGATCTATGGTCCAAACCATTGCAAAAACAATGGTTGATCCCTTCATGGAAATAAAACTCCAGTAAGCAGCCTGAAATCACACTTATAGAGGACACAGTGCAGTGACGCACACATGGCAAACACATTGCTCACAGAATAAACCATTCATTGTGACTTGCAAAATTCATAAAACAATAGAGTTTTTTATTTTGATGTTGCAGAGAAGAGGTGAGGAAACACTGTGTTGAATTTTATTCTGTTTTTTTTCCTGATGATAAGAAGAACTGCAGAAAAAAATCATTAAATCCTTATAAACAGTCAAATTCCACAGGGTAAAAATCCAAATTCTTAGAGATCCATGCAGCATCCTTGTCGACACCACTATAGAGGCCAGTGTGTCTAGTGTCCATGCCATTGACTCTGAACTTGTGTGATGAGTTCTGCATGAGCAATCAAGTTCTGCTTAAATTCTAATGCATTTTGCAGAGTCTGTATGATATATAAATGCCTCCCTTCTATCTGTGGAGGCTCTGTTATCCTATCAATTTTCTGGTCCATGTAACAGCCATATCCTTGAACTTGACCTGCTACATTTTGATCAATATCTCCATGCTTATTAATCCAGCATTCTGGCTAAATAGTATCGTTCATATTTGTTCATGCAGGTACTTGCACACATGTGTGTACATGCACACACACACATAAACGCACACCGTGATTTCTCCTGCCAATAGGGTCCATAAATGGAAGATGTTTGAAAGGTATGATTCATACTGGGCAGATCCATATCATAAAATTAAGAAACAAAGCTAAGTTTGGAACACGAAAATAAAAACTCTTAAGGCTGAATGTCTAGTTACTTAAAGACGATGCATTTTATTACGAGAAGTTGAGCTTTACTGTGTGTGAAGTGTGTGTTTCATTTTGTTTGTTTTCTTTTCTTTTGCTTTGCTTTTTGGTAGACTGGGGGTGGGTGGGAACCTAAGCATTTAAGCAAGAATAGTCTAGAAGAATTTGCCCACTGTTTTATGGGCAGGTAACCCTTCATCCCTTTTAAAATATCAAATAAGAAAATGGAGTTAGAGAGCTACACTCCTATTCTTTTAGGATAATAAAAAAAGTATGACTCTTGTCAGGTAAGCTTCTTGGCAAATAGTAAGTTTAATTCCTACCACCCACATGAGGCACAAGAATAGTTGGATTAACAACTCCAGTGTCATGCTGTCAGCTGCTGTTTATTTAAATTAAAATGTCACCATCCAGAAATAAATTAGGAAGTTGAAAAATGATAAGTTTCTTAAACATACAGTACTTCAGCACCTTGTTAAAATAAATCTATTACATTTGTGGTTTTGTAATACTTTACATAGGCCAATTTCATTTCGACATTCAGAGTATAGTGACTTTTGTAGGTTTTGTTCTTAATTTTACTCACTCCCACCCTCTATCCTCCGTTCCTCCCTCCCTTCTCCCTCCCTCCCACCCTCCTCCCTCCTTCCCACACTCCCTCCCTTCCTCCCTCTCTCATCCCCTCCCTTCTTTCCTGATTTCCTGAATTTTCATCTTTCTTTCTTTTCTGCTTTATGCTCTTATTTTCTGCCCTTTATCCTTTCTGTCTTCACTATTTCTATCTATGCAATGCGAGTCCCATCATTACACATATAATTGCCTTATGGGCATTTCTAAAAATTGATATCTATCTTATGATTGCCTAAATATACATACACGTGTACTGACATAAAAATAGCTACCTAAAGCTTCCTATAAACTACCTGCTTTCCTGGTTCAACAATTAGGTGTTACTCTTTTAAATAAAAAGCATGACTGCAAGGAGCTGCTGACTAGATGCTTGTCATTTGAAGGTTGAGTCAAGCTCCTGTACTTTAAAACAGCACCCGCGCTTCACCCATATCTGATGAATCTTAAGACAATGATTTGGCTTTGGGTTCACAACAGAGCGAATCATTCCACTTTTTATGAGACAATTTGGTCATAAGTAGGAGGAGAATTAATATATGAAAAAGACAAATATTCCTTTCTGTTCCCATTCAGATGAATTTCATGCCTGTGACTTTGTAGAGCAAACCAGTGCAAATGCACACGATGATGCAGGTTAATTAAATACGAGACAGTTGTATACAAACATATTCAGCATTAACAACATGGAGATATTTACTTGGCCGGGCTTTCCATTTTCACATAAAAATGCCTCATATTCAGCTGCGAATTCAGGGGCGTTGTCATTGACATCCAGCACTTTAATAGCAACAGGCACTCGAGATATCTGGCTGTGGTTTCCTATGGGAAGGAAAAAATAGCATCAGCATTCAGGGTGTTTCCTTTGAACTTGTAACTCAACTTCCCTCTATGTCTTTTGTTGTCTCCCTTCATTAGGATGTTTTCCAACTAGAGATGGAGACTATAGCCTAAAAGTGTTGGTGAAAAACAGTCAATGTTTCACTCCTTTTTTTTTTTTAAAAAAAGCAGCAAAATAATATTATAAACACCATTTTCTAGAGCTTACTTCACAAAGGACCATATGTAAATAACTAAAAGGCATTTTGATTATGAACTTTATTGAAAAAGACAAATTTTAAAGGAAAATCAATGTATATAGCAAAGATTGATCTCTTCACTAGGAGAGAAAAGTGCCCATTCTGAGCTTTTATTTTCTAAGCATGTATCTATTAAGATCAAGGATAAAAAGCCACTACAAGTGTAGAAATTAATCACTTGTTGAAAAGGAGTTTTTAACAATCATGAAAACGATAAAATTTTAGATGAACAATCATGTATCTTTTAAACTTTGTGTTTCATTAAAAATTTACGTTAGTATATTTTTTGAAAAGACCAGAAGACTGATATTTTCATAAATACTTTCATATAAATAAGATTATAGTCTTTCAATGTTTCAAGCTCTATATCTATAATAGAGAGTTCAATATATAATTTAAAATTGTTAGGTCTCTAAACTAAATATAAAGTATATGTATATAAGTGAACAAACACACAATATGATTGGTTCTTAATGGTATTGTTATCTTAGACAATGATTTTTTGTGAGTAATAAATGCAATGCAATGCAGTTTGACTCTGACTGTACCATGTTATATTCTTTGATCTCCTGTAAATTATAGAGAATGAAATGAAGAGGGCCATTTATTTATTTGGATTACTGAAGCACCGAATATTTATAAGCAAACAATGAAGGAAAACATGTTTGGCTTTTCATATAGACGAATAGGCTTACATTTAATATCAAACTTCTCTTTTCGACAATTGATTAAGGAAAAAAATCTACAAAACCTAAAATATCACTATTTTTATGTATAAAAGGGATTTTTAAGGCACACACAAAATAATTACAGCCATGCTACAAATTTACTGTTACTATCTTGCTAACACTTAAAATTTGAATTCAGCTAAGTGGGAAAGCTTGTCCTAAAATTCAAAATTGATTTTATGATGTTTAGCTGACACTGATGACACGGAAATACTCTCATGTAAGTAATGGGACAGAGCTTCCTGAAATCAAGATAATGGTATCCAATGCCTCCCACGTTTTGCCCGTTTTACTTTGTTGTTTATTACCTATTGAATTAATTTCTTCTTTTATAGAGAAAGCATGTGACTCTCTAGTTTTAATGGAATGCAAATTCTAAAAATAGTATAACACATATCTCTAAGACAAGAAAATGACATTTCAAATTCTGTCTAGTCAACAAAACTCTGCAAAGGTTACACTCTAAATTCAAAATGACTGTGTCCTTACAGGCTTATATCGCTTTCTTCCCTGACCATGAGTGCTCCTGAAAAGTAGAATGAATTGTGTTTACAACAAACAAAGTTTAGAACCCTAACTTACCCTCCTTCACAGCTATTTTGACTCATTTTTCTCCCCAAGGAAATTGAAAGTTCAGAATTTAACATTTTATTGATGAAATTATTGCAAATCAACCTCCCTCAGGACCCAGCAATTCCACTCTTGGGAATATACCCAACATACTATAAAAGCATTTGTTCAACTATGTTCATAGCAGCACTATTTGTAATAGCCAGAACCTGGAAACAACCTAGGTGCCCCTCAATAGAAGAGTGGTTAAAAAAGGTGTGGAACATATACACATTAGAGTTTTACTCAGCGGTAAAAAACAATGACATCTTGAACTTTGCATGCAAATGGATGGAAATAGAAAACGCTTTACTGAGTGAGGTAAGCCAGACCCAAAAAGAGGAACACGGTATGTATTCACTCATAAGTGGATTCTAACCATAATTAAAGGTCTTTGAGCCTATTATTCGTGATCCTAGAGAAGCTAAATAAGAAGGTGAACCTGATGAAGATTATTTAGCTATCCGCCAGGAGATAGGAAATAGACAAGAGTCCCAGGTAACCTCGGGTGCATGGGGGGGGGAGGGTTGTTGGAAGGGGAGTGGGTTAGAGAGAAGGGAGTAGGGGAGGAATGGGGAAAGCTCGGTGGACTGGGATGGGGGGAGGGAGGAAGGATGAATATGGGATCAGGGAAGAATATATTTCACCTAAGGGAGTCATTTTAGGGTTTACAGGAGACTTGATTATATATGGGATCCCAGGTCCAAGTAGAGATCCCCAGATTGTTCTCTGGACAGAGGAGAGGGTGCCTGAACCGGCCTTGGCCCATAACCATACTGATGAATATTTTGCTTATCACCATAGATCCTTCATCTGGCAATGGATGGAGATAGAGACAGAGACCCACATTGGAGCACTGGACTTAACTCCCTAGGTCCAAACGAGAAGCAGAAGGAAAGAAAACGTGAGCAAAGAAGGCAAGACCAGAGGGAACCTTCATCCGACGATGAATGGCGATACAGACGGAGACCCACATTGGAGCACCGGATATTCTAGACTTTGCATTTGGTAATTTTCAGTATTATCAGCACTGTGTACATTATGTTTGTCTAAAGAAAATATTTTATACTGTAATAATACTAAAATTTATTCAGTTTTGGTCTTTCAAAGAGGAACCATTTTTATTGCAAAATTTGGGGAACATTGATTATCCTCGGAGACCTAAACAGGATCAAATCTTCAAATGTTCGCACATTTGTTGTGTTTATATTTAGTTTTAGAAATCTTTGGAAATTAAAATTGGATATCACATGGACTCTAGTGAATTCTATAAGCACTAGCAGTCTAATAATTGTACTTATAATCTATAACCCTCCATAAGAGGTTGTACAATTTAACTTCACTATTTTATGGTTCTGCTTTATCACTGAAAACCCCCCTTAATAAATTATTTTTTAAACTTTTATATATCTTCACAGTAAAATACTGCTGATTGTTCATTTAATTTTATAATATTAATTCATTTAAATTCCTAGTATAATTCTTTTGTGTATGAAAAATTACAGTGAATGTCTATTTATTATTATTATATTGAACCTAATGACACGATTATTAAGTTGTCATCAAATCTAAATAAGCTGCTTGTGTCAAATAGTCAATACCAAGTCTGTCATTGTAGAGCATAGAAAAGTACATGGAAAAATCTATCCTAGACCTTAAGCAGTGTCTTGATCCTTTTTGATCCTTTGCAGTGAACAGCATGGTAAGCCATTGATTCAGGCTTACTGACAATGTTTGATAAGTCCAAATCTATGTGTATGGTAGTTGGTAGCTACTGTTTGCCCTTTGATGTCATATACACACATTTTATATACAAACACATATAGACTTTCTTCTTACTACTTAAAAGTGATAATTTATTGAAGGTTCTAAATTTTTAATTTCCTTTCCTTCCTCCTTCCCTCCTTCCCTCCCTCCCTTTCTCCCTTCCTTCCTGCCTCCCTCTCCTCCTCTGCCTCTCTCTCTCTCTCTCTCTCTCTCTCTCTCTCTCTCTCTGTGTGTGTGTGTGTGTATGTGTGTATATAAGAAGAAAGTTAATAAATATCTTGGCCAGGAATTCTAATATTAAGTTACATCAGCATTTTCCTCTTTATTTAGTATTTTAGAATTTTTTTCTTTAAAATATAAAGAAAAAGATAAACTGTTCCCATTGCATTGAAAAGTGACATTAATGCAGTAGATGCAGATGGTAGCCTCAACTGTCTTGTTGAAAACAATGGCATTTTAGTGTAACTAAATATGGCTTCAACTACTAAATGCCATTATCCCTTTTCTCTAGTGAATCCTTTTCCCTTTGAAGAATGGATCAAGCCATCCGTCTTCTAAAGAGACTAAGGTGTTATTCCACTGATATTAAGTCAATGAGACATCTTTTTTTTGGTATTGGAAGAATTTGGAGCTGAACATAAGGATCCAATTTTTGTGACAAATTTCTGTTGTCTTTTTATTTACTTATTTACTACTCGCTCTCCTGATAAGGAACTTTTGTATAGTTCATGGAGTCTGAATAACTTTTAACCTATGCCTGCACCTGTATTTTATGAGCCATGTCCTTCTGCTTCTCTTATATCATACTTTCTCTCTAGGCCCACCAGAAATAGTGCCTTCTGTAGAAAATGTTTTGAAGTCTATGCTAATCGTCACCATCATGGCCACCATCTCATCTCCCATCTTTCTTTTGAACTCACAAGAGGTGATGAACTATGTCAAGGCCTCAACTATTGTCTAATAGTACTAGAGTGAACTCTCATGATTATATTAAAGGTATAGTGTTGGAAGTTTAGAATGATATCATCCTATTTTCTAAAATTATAACAGCTGGAAAGAGCTTTATTCCTGATGTAATAGTGGCAGGATATTAGCTTGGGACCTAACATTTCCTTTTCTTGAGTCACCAATTGGGCCAATAAATTTTCACTACCTAAAAGCTAGGATATATGGAATAATTTATAGTGATACTAGTAAATATGCCCTACTACTATCATAGAAAGCAGTGAATTAAAAATAATTTAGTTATATATACTTTGAATTCAATCTCCAATTTATCATACAGAATGCCTTTAGGACATTTAAAAATACTGTAATCGTATTATGAAAAATTGTTAGTGTATTTGATTATTCATTTATTTATTCTCTGTTGCTCTTTTTACTTATTCAATATAGTATTATTTGTGCATTTACACACACTGATGTAATTCACTGACAGCCAACAGATTCAAAGGGTTTATTTTTAAGTTTTTAGTACTATAAAGAATTTACTTAGGGATGGACATTTTAATTTGTTTTAAAAATCATCTAATATTAGTCTTATTATTACTCTTGCTTTACAATGATAAGTAGACTTTCTTGTTTAGAGTATGAAGCACTTAAAAAAAAACAATAGTTCATTCTGTTACCCACAGATTTC